ATAACTAAATTGTACTTAAAAAACAAATTTAAGAAAGATTTAAAACATTTCACAATAGTGTGGGTGTGGTGTTGGAGGTTGGTCTGATGCATGCTACTGGTCCTCAAAATCTGGTTACATCTATCCTTGTTTTGTAAATCTGCCTAAGACATACCTGATTAGTTAATTAAATGGCCTATAACTGGGCAGGTTAGAATGGGGTCAGCATGGCTAAGGTCCCTGGGTTTCTGAGACACGGGGCTCTGATGGGAAGAGAGGAGGAAGGAGGACACCATGATGGATTTGCATGGAGAAGAAACCACATGGGCCAAAAGAAAGAACTCCAATAGTGAAGTGGAAAGGCCCAGATGAAGAATAGAAGCAACTACTATGTGATTAGATATGGTAGGCAAGATGAGGAGAATTAAGGCAGATGGCATGGAATTGGGGCTGGGAGATGGATGGTGAGGAAACTGAACCAGTGTAGACGAAATATATGCCTGGCCAAGGTAAATAAGGCAATTATAAACCTAAAAGTTTCTGTCTTATTATTTGTGATAGTGGGTTAAATAATACCAATGTGTTACTTTTAGGACTAATAATAAATAATATATAGCCCAACATTTATTTTTTTTTATTTACTACAACTATATAGGCACACCATAAGTTACAATAAATTCAGAAAATAAGTTTGGTAAACAAGACTTGTTCCCTTCAAACAATTTAAAGATGAGGTCATGCTAAGGCATTCAGTTAAATGTAGAGGTTGGAATGCAAAGAGCAGATAATGAGAACAGAATAATGTAAAGGCAATGAGAAGGAGAATGATAAGAAGTGAGAAGAGAATGAACAGGTAGTAAGGAAAAGTTAAATTCAGAGAAAAGGTCGAAGGGATGGCTGGAAAAAGAAAGAGGCAAAATAAAGGAAACAGACATGCCTTAAAGCAGGGGGAAAAACATTGTGAAAGAATTGGATGAGAATGGACAGCAATAGGGCAAAAAAAGTGTTTCAAACATTAACAATGCAAAAAAAATGTTGTATTTATGCCATATATGAAGTTCACATACACGAGGTAAATATTCAGTTTAGAGCATGTAGACAATATTACAACAGAGACAGCAACATGGCCAACTGGCGGGCAGAGTGCATGGAATCTTATGTAAGAAGTGGGAACTAGCAAGAGCTGGAGAGGACGGGAACTCCACAAGGAGAGTAACAGAACCAGAAAATTTGAACACAGGGAACTTCCCAAAGACTCATACTCCAACCAAGGACTATTCGTGGAGTTAACCTAGAACCCCTGCACAGATGTAGCCCATGGCAGGTCAGTGTCCAAGTGGCTTACATAGTGATGGGAAGAGGGACTGCCTCTGACATAATCTGATTGGCCTGCTCGTTGATCACCTCCCCCTGAGGGGGGAGCAGCCTTACCAGGCCACAGAAGATGACAATGTAGCCATTCCTGATGTGATATGATAGACTAAGATCAGAAGGAAGGAGAAGAGGACCTCCCCTATCAGTGGACTTGGGGAGGGGCATGCGTGAAGAAGGGAGAGGGAGGGTGGGATCGGGAGGTGAGGAGGGAGGGGCTTATGGGAGGATACAAAGTGAATAAAGTGTAATTAATAAAAGTTAAATACAAATTTTAAAATAAATAAATAAATAAATAAAGAGAAAAAAACCTGAGACAACAAAAACAAAATCACCCAAAAGTTTCCCACACAAATATAAGAACTCTATCTGAGACTATGGATTTGTTTTTGTCATTGTTTTGTTTTTGAGACAGAATCACATGATCCTACGTTAGCTTTGAACTCACTATGTAGCTAATAATGTCTTTGAATTTCTGTTCAGCTCGCCTCTGCCTCCAGAGTGCTGGAAACACAGGAATGAATCTCCTTACCCAAGATGTGTGGTGACAGTGGCTGAACTTGGTGCTTTGTGTGTGTTGAGGAGTTTTTTAATACCTTAGTTATATACCTGGTCTCTTCTTGCAATTTTATATAATTTACGATCATCAATATATTCATTTTATAAATTTATATTCAAATTTTACTTCGCTTTGTAAGAAAAAGATGATATGAAATATTGAAGGATGCAGATTTTGTTACATTTTAAAATGTTTCTTGCTCTTTGCATTTCTAATAGAAAATTATGAGAGTCTATTTCTACGCAGCCATCATTAAAATAAATCTGTTGTGTTATTAATTTATTAGGAAAGATATTAAGATGATATTTTATTTACTTTTTTCCCCATTGGTTTTCAGTGATGCTTAAGTAGCCTTACCTTTGTTTTCACAATTTTCTTTTTATGACATATTTTACCTCATGTGGTCCAGAGAGCAGAAGTCTGCCTCATTGATGCTTCTATTTTTATACACCCTCAGACTGACTTGCCATTGAATAAAACAAACAAACAAACAAACAAAAAACACTTTGTCTTCCTAAATAATTGTCCTTTAAAAGAAAAGCAAGCACCTGACCTCGGTTCACCTAGCCCACTTAAAAACTGTACTTTTTGATCCTAAGGCAATCAGAGTTGACTTCTTGGTGGGAGCATTAGCAATATTTGGCAATTTGTTAGGAGAAATGTTCTTTAATTGCCAGCAATGTTATAAAAAAAAACATGGCTTTGCAACAGTGGGATAAAATTAAATCAATATCTCATAAACTTTTTCTTTGAATTATCCTTTGACAGAGGTCAATTGCAATGTCACACCCAGAGCTGATATATCTCATAGGTCATAAACATATCTCCTAGTGTAAATGTATTTGTCTCATTGTCTAAGAAAAGTGATCCCCAGCATTATTAGCTGGAGTGTTTCTGCTCTCTGATTTTCTCTCTGCAAAATTAAAATTTCTTTCTATTTGGTTAACCCAACTGAAGTTGTCATATCTATCTCTGCTTGGATACTGTATTCATAAGTAGGTTCTCCAAATCTGATGTTCTGATTGCTGAAATGTTTACTATTAAATGAAGGCCTGGGCTGCTTTTAGACATTTGCTATTTCTATGAATTATGTATATTATAGAATTTAATCAAAGTGGTAAGTATGTGCTTCCAATTTAACTCAATATAGAATGTCTTAATTCCCACACACATTTCAAAGAACACCACATATGTGTAGAAATAAAGTTACCACTGTCAAAAAATATCTTTGCTATGAGCAGTGACCAGATTCAGTCATTTACCACACCTCCTTTAAGGCATATGCTGAAGACTGGCATAAAGCATAGGTAGAAATTGAAATAAATGCTGAGCTTTCTTCCGCCATAGAAGAAAAAAAGGGCACAAATTCAGCATCCATCCTGTTAGAAACAGCTGATGGGAATACAGTCCTCCTGGACACACATGGGATGTTTCTTTCTGTCACGTCCTCCACGGTTATGAACTTACAGCTATATCATCATCTAACGAGGATGGCTACTTCAGCACATGTCACTCCGGAGAAAGTCTTGACAGAAACATATTCTAAGGTCAGATTGCCTCATTTGATTTCTGCCTTTATTAAGTATTAATATGATTCTGGCAGAATCCCTTAATCTGTCTGTGACTCAGTTTCTTTACATGTAAAAGGAAATAATAAAGCAAAATATCCTAGGAATGTTCTCTGATTTAGAAAAAAAATCAACCAGTAAAAATTTAATATTAAGGTTACATAGCTTATATGGCTACAGAGATGGCTCTGTGTTCATAAATAAGTCCCGTTCTTGCAGAAGAACTGAGTTCAGTTCTCAACACCCGTATCAGGTAGCTCCTAACTACCTGGAGGGTCACTTCCAGGGAACGCAGCCCCCTCTTATGGCCTCCATTGGCACTTAGACCCACATGGCATACATTCCCTTCCACAAATAAAAATAATTTTAAATGATTATACAGCTCAGTAGAGCGCTTCGACTTGGTAAATTTAGAAAATAGATATGAAAGACAGAGATGAAAGCAATACAATACAGAAATTCATTCTAAGAGCAGCTCGCTGCAGACTGGCAGACTGTGCAAACTGCACTTGCAGAGGTCTGGCTTTGCTTCGTAGCCCCCCCTGGGCATCTCACAGCTGACTATAAATCCTGGTGCAGGGGGTCAATTGCCTTCTGTAGCTTCCATGGGTACGTCTGCACTCATACTGTATATGTATGTATAGTACGCAGATAAACACATACACATAAAATAAAAGTGAGCTAAGACATCTTGAAAGAAAAGTAACTTAACCATGTATTTACTTATTCAATTTAAGTTCTTAAATACGCAACCATTTTATCAATGAGTCCCTAGCTTGTGCCGCATTATTTGATAACATGGTCGGTTACTAATAAAAAATAAAGCTGACTGAATATATAAATGAACAGTCAAGAATATTCACACATAAACACACATATGAATTAATTTATATATAAAATGATGTCTGCATAGCTGGTAATAATAAGATAAAATAAAACACATAGAATGTTCCATAATTTTTCCTAATATTTTATGACTGTATCTAAATTTGATATTACCTTAACCAATAAATTAAAACGTTTTCTTTCCCAGTAAAAAAGAGGTAAACTCATGCCCCCCTATTCTCAAGGCAAATAAACAAGTCATGTTTTCAATATAAAGAGATATACTTATGGCTATGAAATGTAGTAATCTCTCTAAAGGCATTGGATAGAACATAACCTATGTGGGACTCAAAAACGACCCAGAAACTCAGAGGCAAGCAGGTGGGAATTCACAAAATTGTGAATCGTTCTTCATTGGATGTAGATATAGCAGGTGTCAAGATCTAACCTAACCTGTAACATGATCAAACCACTCAGTTTACTGTTTTATTAACCTATGTAAAATCAACTTGGCAGTCTCTACAAAGCATCCATTGTACTAAGCACACCTTTGAAGAAGGTTCTAGAGAGTATGGCATCCAGAATAAAAACAAAATAAAGAAAAAAAAAAAAAAAAAAAAAGAAAAAAAGATAAGAAACTACATTGGCTATGACTGAAGCCAAGCATCATTTTCCAAGCTGTCTCCTCCTCTACTCACTTGTTGGGTTGTCCGTGCTATGGAGGCTGACCACTGGGACTCTTGGACCTGAAATTTAAAAAGATACATATAAGGTTTTTAAACATATGAAAGGTGTCTGGTAATATGGCTGAATGGGGAAATGTGCTTGCTGCCAAGTCGATAGTGGAAGGAGAGTGCCAACTGCCAAGCTGTCCTCTGACCACCACATTTGCATCACGCCATGGGCACATAATGCCGAACACATGCACACAAGCAAATCAATAAACATAATAAGAACATCTAAGTCATGCTTCTCATAAGAGCTACATGACAAGAGATCCCTTTTCCAAAGGGAAGTACTTTGTATTTACAATACAATGAAACAAACAAACACAAACCTTAGGAAAGAAGTGGGAAATACTAAGATCTGGAGAGGACAGGAACTCCACAAGGAGAGCAACAGAACCAAATAATCTGAGCACAGGGGTCTTTCCTGAGACTCATACTCCAAACAAGGACTATGCATGGAGATAACCTAAGACCCCTGCACAGATGTAGCCCATGGCAGTTCAGTATCCAAGTGGGTTCCATTGTAATAGGAACAGGGACTGTCTCTGACACAAACTGATTGGCCTGCTCTTTAATTACCTCCCCCTGAGGGGGAAGCAGCATTACCAGGGCACAGAAGAATGCAGCCACTCCTGATGAGACCTAATTGACTAGGATCAGAAGGAAGGAAAAGAAGACCTCCCCTATCAGTGGACTTGGGGAGGGGCATGCATGCAGAGGGTGGAGGAAGGGAGAGATTGGGAAGCGAGGAGGGAGGGAACCACAGGGGGGATACAAAGTGAATAAAGTGTAATTAATAAAGAATGAAAAAAATAAAATAAAATGCAAACAGACAAATTCATGCAACGCATTGCATTCCAAGGGGATGTATGAATTCCATTTCATCTCTGAGAAGTACGGTACCATATTAAAGCAAATAAATTCTTTTTAATACATTATTGCAAGGTTTCTCTAAACACATCCATGCAATACTATGACATGATGTCATAAGACAAACGTAGTAATAAAATGTCTGAGCAATTGCTCAACCTCAAATGAAGAAGAGTTCACATAAATCTCAATCTTTTCATGGAAAGTGTGGGTGTTCTGTGTGAACAGATCCTTCTGTGTATGTGTGCAGGTGGAGAGCCAAGGACAACCTTGGGCATGGCTATTTAGTTGGCATCGATTTTAATTTTTGTTATTGTTGTTATTGAGATAATGTCTCTCACTGGCCAGGAATTTGCCAAGTAGGTGATGCTGGATGCCACCAAGCCCCAGCTATCTTCCTAACTCTCTCCCCACACTGGGATTCTAAGTGCATGCCATCATGCTCAACGGTTTTTGCAATGTGATTTCTGGGGACCAAATTCATATCCACATTCTTACAAGGAAAGCATTTTGACAATGGATTTGGCTTCATAGTCCCCATTGATCCTAAATCTCTTAACAATAAACCTACTGTTTATGAGGAAGGAAGGCTTTTAAATAGGCAAATTATGTGCTGTGGTTTTGTCAAAATAATTGTCCACCTCTTTAGATTCCCCAGTTCACATGTCCCTCTAGATTGTACTTCTGTTTTAATTTCTAAGTATTTCTATTTTGAGGGGACTGGAGAGATGGCTCAGCAGTTAAGTTATTGTCCTAGGAAAAAATGGAAATAACCTTGATTCAGTCCCCAGTACCCAAATTAAGAAGCTCACAACCACCTACTCTTTATTTTAGGAAATCTGGTGCCCTCTTCTGGCCTGGAGTGAAATAGTGCAAAAGTTTCAAGTCTCAGGAAATGTCTAATTTATAAACACATATTAATGATGGTAATAGAAACTGGTTTAAACCAAGTGTATACAATGAATCCTACTGAAAAGCTTATACTATCTAACCTTCACAGAACAACAAGAAATGTTGGTTCATGGGACTGAAGCTGGCATCAAAATATGTGCAATCTTCTTTCATAAAGTTACATGAGATGCAATCCCGATTCAACAATCCCTCAGTAGAAGCACTGGAAAAACAAAACAAAAATGAGAAATATCATTAACATAGACACCTGAAATTCATGGCATCAACACTTAAATACAGTCAGATAGAAATCTTGCCTCAGAGCTCCCATGAAAATTCTTTCAAGCTTGTGATTCATCCAATACATGCAAAATTGCTTTCTGTTATTAAAATTAGGACATATACTTTTTTTTTTCTTTTGGGAAATAGCATTAAAATGATGATATGTGCATAAAAATTGTGGGTGCACATGGCTATAAATGTACCAGTTTCCATGGAATTCAGTATTATACTTACTGTTAACTTCATTTTCCTTTTAATGTTTATTTCATTTCTGTTTATGTGCATGCCCATGTGTGTATGTGCACGTATGTGTGGATACCTGAGGAGGCCAGAAGATGGTATCTGGTATCCAGAAACAGAACTCTGGTCTTCTGCAAGTACAGTGTAGATTTTTAATGGCTGAGCTACCTCCAGTCCCTACATTTTCTTTGTATCTACAGTCTAGAAGAAGACTTGTTCACAGTGGCAGAAATAAAGCAATCCTCAATAAATATCAGCCAAAAAGATGAATAATTATTTCTACAACTCCCCCTAAGTGAAGCTCATAGCTTTGTAACCTCAACAGCCTGAACATTAAAATTCAGTATTCTAACTCTCCTATCAAAAGTGGGCACTGAAATTTTTAGTGAAGAAACTACACTTATGCATGAAAATACATAAAATACTACTGACATATGCAAGGTTACTGGAAGTTTTTGTCTTTATTTTATGATAATGGTGCTTCAGACCAGAAAGCATGACAAATTCCTTCAAGATTAAACCACATATCAATAAGTTTTATTTTAGAAATACTTTTAAGTGTAACATTAGCTTAGTAAGCAAATGAAAACATATGTTTCTGTTCCTCTCCAAAGAGAGGGGTGTTCATGATGCATGTCCTTGGGGATTGTGGCAGCTAATGGCTCCTGAGGGAAGGAGAGACAATTTCTTCTGTGGGTTAGCCACTGATAAGTTGCCCGTATTCCTGTAAATAACCCTAACAACCCCCCAAACATGCACACACACTATATGGAAGTAGATGGGAGATTTCCTGAGTGGAGGAAGAAGAGCCACAAGAGTGGGGGAGGACAAGGTAAGAGAATGTAATTTGAATACATTATACACATGTATGAAAATGTCATGAGGACATTACTATGTGTAATTAATACATACTAACCAAAAGCTTTTTAAAAGAGCTTATTTGAGCAAAGTATTCTCAAACACATTTTACAAAGGACCACGGATTGAGATGTATCCACATGTGTGAGTAATAAGCATATTGATTTTGATGTGTAGCATATGACAGTCCTGCGAGAAGAGAAGATGTGGACATGGGAGTGGGAGAAGAAATTCAGGCTTAGTGTTATTTGCAGCCTACAGAGCTACAATTTCACACTTGAAATGCTGTGATCTCATTACAGTTCACAGAACTTAAAAATTCCAGGAACTTATAAATTCACCCTTTGATGACTTGTGAGATAATCACATAAATTTATTTGAACTATGGTTATAAATTTTGTCACTTAACCAATTCTTAGGGCAGAATTCAATTTTATCAAATACATCCACAGTGATGTCTAATCATCATTCCAGAGGGCTTAAGTAAGGGTCTATGTTGGAACGAGTCTGCTCTAGGATGCTAACACTAAGCTTTTCTGCTTCTGTCCTCTTCCACAAAGCTTTCACATTCAGGCTCCCTGGAGATTCACACTGGTATTTGAGACCTATTTATTTATTGCGTGTGCAGATGTGATATGCATGTTTGTTTAGGAATACTCTCTTATGCATGTATGGGCAGGAACCAAATGCTGATGTTGGTGTCACCGTCTGCTTTTTCCCTCCACATTTCTTTGAACCCAAAGCTTGCCATTTCGGCTATATTGCCTGGCTGGCAATCTCCAGGGATTCTTCTATGTCTCCATCTATCTAGCACTATGATTACAAGCATACATGGGCACTTTTCATATGTGCGTTCAGGATTAGAACACAGATCCTCTTGCTTATACAACAAATACTTTGCCCACTGCCTATTTCCCCAGTACCCATTTGCACTACTTAGTTTATGACAATCCCGGTTTATGACATTCCCAAAACTAACAAAAAATACAGTACTTCTAGACAAAAATACTGACACTGGATTTGGTAACAGTTTTGATTTTTTGATGCATTAAATCAACCACTGATCATTTTTACAGCTCATGTAAGACACAGATTGAGTTTTCTGGGACAAACTCCATCTTACTGTCAAGCCAACTGGCACTTCATGAGCCATGTAAGAGGGCATTTTAAAACACTGTGTTCTCTTAATAGCACAGGCCACTGCACTAGTCCAGGTCATGGGAAAATTGACTTCCATGGCAAAGTCAAAATATTAAGCCTACACATTTAAACAGCTGATGTGATCCAAGACATATTTAGACTAAAAAGAGCAAAGAGCATCAAGTAAGTTTATCAGTGCCCTTGACCAAGGCTTATCTCCAATGATCATTTCTTTTATGAAATCTATTTTTTAATGAAAGGAATAAAATACAATGAAGTATTTCTACATCTCTAAAACATTTTAATGGTTTTGAGTATTAGTTTTCATTGTCAACTTCATATAACATAATGATTAGTTATCTGGATTTGGTTGAAATGTGAGCACATCTCTGAGGTATTTTCTTAATTTTGCTAATTAATGTGAGAAGACCCACTCTGAATGTGAGAGATGCCATCCTCCAGGGTGTGTTCTCTTGTGTACATACAGGCTATGGAGGCTGGACGTTCATGTGGATCTCTTTTGCAGTTGCCACTACTTTATTTAATTAAGCAGTCTCTCTTTGAATTAAGAGCTTGCCTACTCTGGCTAGTCTAGCTAGTCAGCTTGCTTTGGGAACCCCACATCTTCACTTCTCAAATCTTGAATTTTCATCTACCCTGTATTTTTATAGGAATTGAAAAATCCAAACTCTTGTTCCTATGCTTGCGGTAAGTAAGCACTTTATCCCCAGTCTTCAATATACATTTTTTAACTCTCAAAAAAAAAAAAAATCTAGGCTACTTGGTAAGGAGAGGTGAAACTTTTTCAAACAGGGTGAATTTCCACTGAGAATAAAACACAGCAGCCTTGACATGTTTAAAAACGGGTGTGTGAAATGGAAATCAGAAAGTTCACGGAGAATCCAGAAATAATAGCCCCTTTGCCTGCCCAAAATAAAAAGTCATTCTTGTGAGGTCCTGTTGAGAGCTTGCAGAATTGAGGAGATATTTTAATGCTGAATAGCTGATTTTTAAGCCCTTGATAAATTTAGTTTCATATTTGGAAATGCTGGGCAGATGTGGAATATTCACATTTTCATTACTTCATCTTAGTTATGCAATCAACACCCTAGGCTAAGTTAAGGTAACTTTCTCCAACAATCTCATCTAATTCCATGAACTTCAGGACAATAATAGCAAACAAAAAAGACAAAGAATAAAAGAAAGAAGCCATTACCTGCTGGAATTTGCAGTCAGAGACCCATCCATCATGCTATTATATTACAGAGGCATGAGTTAGATTCATGCCACATTGATTGATGTACAGAAAGCTCAACAAGACTAGGAAAGTATGTAATGTCTGCACTGTGTGGGGTGAGAAAAGTGACACGTGGATATGCACATGAACAAATCAAATGAGGAAGAGACAGGGAAATCTCCGGTCTGAGCATGTCTCCCAGGATCTCAGCTGAAGGACTGGCGTAAAAGTGTGAAGTTTTTTTTCTAGAATGATTAGCCATTTTGGATATTAGACTCATATTTTTAAATTTCTTCATTGTTGTGTGTCTGTAGTGTGAACTAAATTTCCAAGGCAGACACTTCATGGAACATTTACAGAGACCAGTTGACTGCTTCATAGTCAGAGGTTGTGGAGAAGTTGGAATGTTGCAGGTTCAGAGCCAAACTATCTTGAGCTATCCTAGCCACTTGAATAGCCATGTATTGGCCACCTCTGTATATGAACTAGCATTGTGTGACTATTTGGGAAATCTCTTTGGAATGTATGAATATAATCCAAGATTCTACCAACCTCTAAACCAAGAATGCCATCAGATACCAGCGCTGATGCCTAGAGCACAGATTTTTCCAGACAACTGTAAGTTTTCTACCTGAGGTTCCCACTGGTGTTCCCATTTGAAAAGTACCTTGATTTATGACCTTTTTGTCCTTTTACTGAAAAAGCTCTGTGAAAGTGTTACCTAACTGAAACTCTGTATTTGAGGCGACCTAAGTCTCTGTTTCCAGGCCATGACCACTCATATTGGAATCCAGAATAAATGGTCCTTTATTCTCTCTGAAGCGAAAGCTAAATCCTTTGTTTGTTATCTTTTTGTTTTTGTTTTTGTTATCAGCAAATTAAAATAATGTAAATAGCAAGAATGAAAATCCTAATCCAGGTGTTCCTCTATAAGCTTGCTGAGTCCATCACCCAAAAGACAAGACTAAGACTTTAAGGTTGTCATAGAGACTCAATTTTCCCTTGCTGTATTGAAATGGGTTGAGGCTCCCCAGGCCTTTGTCATCTTGGGGTGGTGGCCTCTGAGAAGTCAGCCGGGGGGATGAGTTCACCGCCTACCTGTACAGCTGCCTCCCTCGGGGGGAAGACTCTGTGCTCAGGAAGTAACTGTTGAGAAAAAAATGGCAAAAGCATTAGAGGTAGATTTATTTTCATCAGCCCTTAGTCTTCACTTGAATTTTCTAACCTGTCAAGAAGACAGGCATGGGATGTTTTGTTATTCAGTCATGGGAATTTGTTCCATTCGGGAAATGCATCTGTCTTGTTTTGTAAAATAATCACCCTGCTCCTTGAGCTTTTCCACTCTCTTAAGAGTATGTGGTAGAAACAGATCTGTGAGCAGTGCCTATGAATTAAGCAAAGGTAAGCGTTTTATGATTTTTTTTATTATTATTATTTATGTGTATCTGTGTATAGTTGCATCAACATGCAAGTGCCCATAGATGCCAGCAGAGGGCAAAAGATTCCCCTGGAGCTAGAATTACAAGTAGTTGTGAGCCTCCTGATAAGGGTACTGGGAACAGAACCTGGGTCCTCTGCAAGAGCAGTATGTGGTCCAGTCCTAAGAAAATGCTTTTAAAGAGAGGGTTATTATTACATGGATAGATTGTTTGAACAAGGGCCTTGGTAAGAAAATAATTCTCTAACAATAGAAAAGATTACTCTTGAGAATGCTGATGGCCAACCCACATAGAGAAGCAAAAACAATCACATTTTTTTAGTTGTTTCATCATAGGCCAAGATCCTTATCACTTCCCAGTTTCCTGAGGTCAGATGCCGCACCGTGATTTGCTCGCTTTTACTCTGCAAAAAATAAAATTGAAAATATTGATTTCTCACTCTTACTTAAACAGATTCTTCCTGGCTAAAAAGAAACAAAACAAAACAACAACAAAACCAAAACCAAAACCAAAACAAAACAAAACAAAAAAAAACACTGGCGGCTTTTGCTTCATCTAATTATCAACTAACATTCCATTCCCTACATTAAAGTCAAGGACTAATAAAGAGACCATGGTGGGGCAGTGCCTTTATTCCTGTGCCACAGATAAACGATTCAGGATTCTGGAGGCACCAGGTGGGCATGCAGGTGTGAGTTATCCTGAGGGAAGCGCTTCCTTCTACTGTCAGACCTTCCTGGTCTTACCGAAATAGGTGGCAGCTGTGCAGTCACCAAATATTTGTGTCACAGCAAACATTTCAGAAGAAACTTTGCTGCAACTAAGCAGTGCTATTTATTCTTCACCTTTCTTATGTGTGTCTTCCTGTAACATTTGGTATGCTGTATAATGTTCAAAGCAGGACAGAGCTGCCTGCCTCCTCAAACATTTATCATTCCTCTCTATATGTGTGAGTAATTGCACCCACTCACAGGATATTTCAGCCCAGCACATGTTGATTAGATCAGGCTAACTGACTTTTCCTTTACTGCAGATGTCTACTTTGGGGGTAGGAATACTGCCAACCTTTCTTATTAGCTTTGAAATATCCAAATATTAGTCTCCCACAGTCATCCCACTGTGCTACAGAATGCAGGAAGTTCATAACTTTAGATTGCATCTGTGATGCCCACATTTTTGTACTTAAAATCAAACATTTGTATAGTTCCAGAGGCACATGGCTGAGAAAACTCCTGGGGCTGGGGCTCTTGGTCATTTGCTTTCAACCTGTGATGGTTTTCACATTCCTGTTTGGTTTTGAGTCTGGAGATCGTTCTGCCTCGGCCTCCCAATCTCTGGATAGCAAGCATGTATTGCTATGCATGAGTCAGCCTCAGGAGTGCTTGATTACAGGCAGGTGTCACCACACATGATTGGTACTTGCCTTTCCAGCAGCTGTTCTAATTTAGAGTCCACTGCATGTGAGCGTTCCTGGCTCTTCACCATGCAGATTTTCTCATTGACACATACATTTTTTCGTTCTTTTTTTTTTTTTTTGTCAAATGGTACTATACTTTTTATTTATATAAAATATACATAAAGGCTGAGAAAGTTAAATATAAAATTAACTCAAGTGACAATGTTTTGAATGTTCTTTTTCCTTTTATTTGATGAATCATTTGAAAGCAAGATGGTTATAGCAGGGTATTTGAACTCTAAACATTTTGGAATCTTTCTTTGGTAGAAAGGTGTTCCCATATCATCAAATCATAATATGGAAAATTTCATTAACATTTTTTGAGAATTTCATACATGAGCACTGTATTTACTATATTTTCATCTATCCCTCCCCCTCACACCTTCAAATTCTTGACTTTTTAAAATTATTACTCTTTCTCACACACATATAGACCTCACACATGCATATATACCTATGTATGTATATTTATGCATGAATACACTTATAGGTATATATAAATGCAACCTACTGAGTTCATTTAGTATCGGCCATATGCAACTATATTTAATACTTACTACTTAAGATTGGATAACCTAGCAGGGGCTCATCCCTGAAAAAGCCTAAATCATTCACTCTCAGCAATCCTTAACTGACGGCAGCTCTTCATCTAGAGCTGCGGTTCTCAACCTTCCTAATGCAGGGACTCTTTAACACAGTTCCTCACGTTGTACTGACCCCCAACCATAAAATTATTTCATTGCTATTTCATAAATGTAACTTTGCTATGGTTAAGAATTGCAATGCAAATATCTGATATACAGAATATCTGACATGAGACCCTTAAAAGGGTCACAACCCACAGGTTGAGAGCCACTGAACTAGATGCTCTGAGGGGTGTTGAAATCTTTAGTGTCTTATAAACTAAAAGCCAAGGCCAGGGGAATAGCTCAGTGGGTAAACGTGCTTGCCATACAAGCTTGCTGGACTAAGTTTTATTCTTACAGCACACAGTGAAAGGAGAGAATTCAATCTTGAATGTTATCCTCTGATGTCCACCCATCTCATACCCAGGGTCTCTATCTACACACAAAGGAAGACATTGAAAAAATTAAAGTCGGAAATAATACATGAGCAACATCTGTGTTGCTCATGTATTAGAGAATTTACAAGCAAATAAAGTAGAACTAGATATGTGGAACACAGATAAATGATACAGTGAGAAATTCATTGTATTTAACATGTCAAGAATAAAAAAAAATTATTAAAACTAAGAACTTTGGCTTCTGAAAAGTTGTAACTGATGTTATTAACTCACAGTTTGATAGAATTGCCCTGAGAGAATGCTACTTGAGAAATATTCCCAAGATATTCTTGATGTAGTTATGTTCTCAGTATGGATATATGTTATGGGGGAATTGTCTTATGATATCTTACTGCCATTCCTACTTGAAACATAAAGCAAACACATGGTCTATATGCCACTCTGTTTCCATAGTAACAGAATCTATCTTTAAATTATTCTTAGTCTTCTTAGTATGTATCTACATGTTATCCGTGTCCTGAATGCTCTACTCCTGCCTCCTGTGTTGGTGCATGCCATAAATCTCTTTGGTCAGGAGGCTGAGGCTGAGGACTGGAACTGTATGACAGCCTGGCTACATAGTATGTGACCCACAGTTTGGGCCACATCTCCAGATTCTGCGTCAAATTAAGAAAATGAATGTGAGTAATCTTGTTTTTATAAATTCTCTGCTTTCTGGCTGTCAGTATTCACAGTACATCAAGTTCTTTATTACTGTCTGAGGTAATAATATGATTTAACACACTTTAGACCAAAGGTGAAAAATGCAAGGATGGCAGGAAATCTGTGAGATTTTAACCAGTTAGATGCCAATAAAACAGGAAACAATCATAAGACTTCATTCATTCTCCAAAGAAGGCTGGGAATCTACAATAGAGTACTTTTTCAGGAGACTAGACATCAGACACACACTCTGAATTGGTAATATCATGCAAAGAAGTAAAATCTGAACCATACACTTCTATTCACAAACTGAAAGCATGCCAGCACATTTACCAGTGCTAGTCACCTGATAAATTCCTGTTTATTCAATATCTGATACTAAGTTCTGCCTAAAGTTTATGGTCTCTGAAAAAGGGAAGTAATGTGCTGCTTAAAAATACGATGATTTAATTTACTGTCTATTCATCACAGGAAATGAACTCATTGTTTTCAGACAATGTCCTAATCAGATAGAGTAGTGAAATTTAATGAAAAACTTTTATTAGGTTGATGAGGTGATAGGATTATGAATTGTGAGCATGTGATTCTCTGCAGCACTTATAATCAATAATGCGACTTAAAATTGTTCTTAGTGGAATTGTCAGCTCTCCTGAGTGAAGCTTCTCATTGCTGTATAGACACAGTGGGTAAGTACAACAATTTGCGAAGATTACAATGCAAGTGCTTATCTCAAGTAGTCTGGAAACTCTGCTCACCCTTCTCTGAGTGGGAGAGATATTGTGAGGATTAATCTTGAACCTCAACAAGGCATGATTTAGAATCACCTACGAGACACTTCTCCGGGGATGTCCCTATGAGGGAATCTCTATCTTGTATTCACTGAGAAAGGAAGACACACCCTAAGTGTGGGCAGCTCCATCCCATGGGCTGGAATCTCAGGCTGAATAGAAAGGAGAAAGTGAGGTGAGCACTCATCTCTCTGCTTCCTGACTGTGGAAACGATGCTGCTAGCAGTAAGCTCCTGCCACCATGATGGACTGTATTCTCAAAGTGTGCACAAAATAAACCCTTCCTGACCCAGGTCCCCCAAGGTTGCTGCTCAGATTTTGATAATCTTATAAAGGCTTTAGATCTACTGGGTGCAGCTCTGTTAGCCCCAAGAGAGGGTCGGGGGAAGGGCCTGGCAGGTGAAAACAAGACCCAAGTAGCAGGAACTTAGGATCCACACAGCCAGGTCTTGGGACAGGGGTGGGGATGAAGAGCAGGACCTATAGGTTACAGAGAAAGAGGGGGTGGGGCAGGAGGTGGCATCCCATTTTCTACCTACAGTGGAGTATTCTGAACTCAGAGACTCAACCTCTACCAGCAGGCCTCTCTGACAGATGAGCTGCATTGGATGCTGAAGCTTTGGGAACAGACAGGGACACCTAACCTAGAAGAGCCTCACCAAAGAGCAGAGGAGCCTGGGTCCCTGGGGGATGGGGTGGGGACAAGCATCCTGGATTACCTCCACCCTGCTGAGGGAGTTCCCCTTGTCTCCACCCCTGGGGCTTATGTAGACATTGTAACTGTCTAAGGGGAAGAGGTGGGTGGGGAGGGGTTGTGGTCTGGAGCTGCACTCCCTTTTCTCTTCCTCTAGTCCCCTACATCTGGGGGCGTTTGTTAAAAAAGAATAAATAAATAAATAATATACCCTCATGCTAGGTTTGCTGAGCACTTTGCCACAGCAAAGAAAAGAGTAGAGGGGTCTTGTGCAAATAACTGCTGATAGGAATAATTTCACATTCAACAAAACATAGTGTTCATGAGAGCAACTGTTCATTTATGTTCATGTATCTGTGCCTATGTGCATGTGTGCGAAAGTGCACACGCCTAAGTCCATGGGGAGAGGCCACAAGCGAATACTGTGTGTCCTCTTACAGTACCCTTCTCCTATCCTGCTGATGACCACCTCCTCCTGAAGCTGGGATCTGTATCAAGACCTAATTGCAAGTCAGCAAGATCTGTCACTTCTCCTGTCCCTGCTTCTCTAAGAGCCAAAGCTCTTAGAAAGCCCAGATATTTCTGGGAGCTGGGTCTGAACTCTGAGGACTGTGCTCCGTTTTACATAAAATTATACTCATATTTCATAGGAGGCTAAGAAAAATAAAAGAAGTATTTCACTTTATTGAATGGCCTTAACAAGGGATAGATTCTATAAATGTGAAAAAAAAACAAAAAA